AACCACATGATAATATCAATAGATGCTGAAAAAGCCTTCGACAAAATCCAGCATCCATTTCTGATAAAAACGCTCAGCAGTGTAGGAATAGAGGGATCATATCTAGATATAATAAAGGTCATATATGAAAGACCTACAGCCAACATCATACTCAATGGGCAAAAACTAAAAGCATTTCCCTTAAGAAAAGGAACAAGGCAAGGATGCCCACTTTTGCTACTCCTATTTAACATAGTACTGGAAGTCTTAGCCACAGCAATCAGACAGGAAGAAAAAATAAAAGGGATCCAAATTGGAAAGGAGGAAGTGAAATTGTCATTATTTGCAGATGACATGATACTATATATAGAAAACCCCAAAGACTCCATCAAAAATTTACTAGACTTAATAAATGAATTTGGCAAAGTAGCAGGATACAAAATTAACGTCAAGAAATCGATGGCATTCTTATACACCAATGGTGAACTCACAGAAAGAGAAACTAAGCCAAAAATCCAATTTACCATTGCAGCAAAAAAATTAAGATATCTAGGAATAAATTTAACCAAAGAAATAAAGGACCTATTCGCAGAAAACTACAGGTCATTGAAAAAAGAAATAGAGGAAGATATAAAAAAGTGGAAGCACATACCCTGATCATGGATTGGAAGAATTAACATCATTAAAATGTCCATAATACCCAAAGCAATCTATAGATTCAACGCAATCCCCAACAAAATACCAATGGCATACTTCACAGAATTAGAACAATTATTTCAAAAGTTCATATGGAACCAAAAAAGGCCTCAAATAGCCACAGCAATCTTGAAAAGGAAGAACAAAGTTGGAGGGATCACAATACCAGATATCAGGTTACACTACAAAACCACTGTAATCAAAACAGCCTGGTACTGGCACAAGAACAGGCATATAGACCAGTGGAACAGAACAGAGAACCCAGAAATGGACCCAAGGCAATATGCTCAATTAATATTTGACAAAGGTGGCAAGAGCATACAGTGGAGTAAGGACAGCCTCTTTAATAAATGGTGCTGGGAAAATTGGACAGCCACTTTCAGAAGAATGAAACTAGACCATCAACTTACACCCTACGCGAGAATAAACTCAAAATGGATAAAAGACTTAAATGTAACTCATGCATCCATAAAAATCCTAGAAGAGACTGTAGGCAACAAAATTTCAGACATCATACACAGCAGAATTTTTACTGACACATCACCTAAGGCAATAGAAACAAAGGAGAAAATGAACACATGGGACTACATCAAACTCAAAAGCTTCTGCACAGCAAAAGATACAATCATCAGAACGGAAAGGCTACCCACTGTATGGGAGAGCATAATTGCCAATGATACATCAGATAAGGGGTTAATTTCCAATACATATAGAGTGCTCATACAACTCCACAAAAAGAAGACAAAGAATCCAATTAAAAAATTGGCAGAGGAACTAAATAGACACCTCTCCAAACAGGACATACAAATGGTTAAGAAACATATGAAGAAATGCTCATCATCACTGATCATCAGAGAGATGCAAATTAAAACAACAATGAGGTATCACCTCACACCTGTCAGAATGGCCGCCATCAACAAATCATCAAACAACAAGTGTTGGCGAGGGTGTGGAGAAAAGGGGACTCTAGTACACTGCTGGTGGGAATGCAGACTGGTGCAGCCACTATGGAAAACAATATGGTGTTACCTCAAAAAATTAAAAATTGAACTTCCATTTGACCCAGTGATCCCGCTTCTAGGAATATACCCTTAGAAGCCTGAAACACCAATCAGAAAGAATATATGTACCCCCATGTTGTAGCAGCACTATTTACACTTGCTAAGATCTGGAAACAGCCCAAGTGTCCATCCGTAGACGAATGGATAAAAAAGCAGTGGTACATATACACAATGGAGTACTACGCAGCTGTAAGAAAGAAAGACCTCTTATCCTTTGAGACTACATGGAGGGACCTGGAAAGTATCATCCTAAGTGAAACAAGCCAAACAGAGAAAGACAAGTTTCATATGATCTCACTTATTTGTGGAATATAATGAACATAACAGTCTGAGGAAGGGGGTAGTCCCAGAGACGCGGAAATGGGATACAGACTGACAATCCCCTAAATAGGGGGGTGGTGGGGAAGAGATAAACCACAGAACTTATATGCATGTATGCATGAACAGTGGACATGGACAACAAACTGGGGAAAGGGCAGGGAGGGAGGGGAGGGGAGGGGGGAATCAGTGGGAGAAAAAGGAGAAACATCTGTAACAAAAATTAATTAATAAAAAAAAGAAAATAATGACTGAAATAATAACAATTTTAGAAAGTAATAATGCTAAATTGAATAAAATATAAAATAAGAAGGTAAAAAATTGGAAAATAAAAAATATTACAATAAAAATGCAAATTAAAAAGAAAATAAAAACACCAAAACAACAACAACAAATTTTGGATCTGCTATTTATGGAGCTCATTGGATTTTGCTCAGATGTTTTTGGATCTGGCCTCTTGGTGTGTGGGTCCCTGTCCCCTTGGACAGTTCTCTGGTGCAGGCCAATATGAATTGCTATTCCCGCCTGGCCCTGGATCTCCTGGCTGAAGCCCTGCAGGGTGGATCCCAGGCAGTCCAGTAGGCAGGGCTTTCCTAGACCAGAGGCTGGGTCTGCTCTAGGGCTTGTCACGTGAATGTATTTGTTCTGGGTTGCTTTCCCTTCCAGGATAGCCTGGGCTCTGTCAGTATAATTTACACACATTTGCACTGGGGGTGGTGCCTATAGTTTACAGGAGGGGCAGGCAGTCTCTTTCTTTCCTTCCTGTGCCTCATCTCTGGCTGGGTTGCTGGCACCCCCTGGTCACCACCCCAAGCAGGGGAGGGTTGAGGGGGGAAAAAGGAGAAAGAAAAAAAATGCCCTGCTTGGCTCTTTAATCTTTCAGCATGACTTGCTCTTGCTGGGTGGGACTTCTGCCCAGGCTCCCACCTGGGGATCCAAATTTCCAGCACCCCTAGGCCCTGCCACTGGGGTGCTGACTTCCAACCCAGAACTGTTCCAAGGGTGGGGGAAGGGACAGCTCCTTTTTCCTGGAGGTGGGGAGCAACACACCTCTTTCCCCAGCACTCTGACTAGCCCCCTTCAAAGTTCTTTCAGTGAGTAATCAGCCCCTCAAATTCACTGCTGTGTGATCCGTTCAGATCCCTCCTCGGGTTTGCTATTCTGCTTTGTGGCCCCTCCCAGCGCCCACAGTCAGAGTGAGCTTCCCAGGCTGGTGTTGTGACAGCCTTCGCTTGTAGCCTGGGTTAGTGCTGAGTCACCCTGGAGGGCCAACTCACCTCTGATTTCGATGCTATGTGTGCTCCCCTTCCCTTCTCTGATGCTCTTGTTTGGGGCTGAATCCCCCACTCCCAGAGGGCAGGAGGTGTGCTACCGCCCCTTCCTCCCAGCTGCACGAGTTTGCTCACCCACTTGGCATCTTCTCCTGTGCCCTCTCCATATTCCCACTGGCAGTGCTTCCAATCAGCTATTTTCAGGTGGTTTTCAAGTTGAATGTTCTGCAGTTTAGCCTCAAGTTTGGTCCTGTGCTAGGAGCAAGCGGAAGGAACTTCCTTAGGCTTCAGCCATCTTGCCTTCTCCTTCTCCTCATTGCTTTTTACAGCTGCATAGTATCCCTTCACATGGGTGTGCCTTAGTTTATTCAGCCACAGCTTGACTGCTACATACATGGGTTGTTGATCATCTCTAAATTTTCAAGTTATGCCACAAATCAATAAACTTGTATCTATTTTATTTCATATTTAGGAGGTTGTGTATGATATATTCTTAGGAGAGAAATTGCTGGGTGAAGGGGAAAATATGTATTTTGGGTAGATATCGCCAAATTCCTCTCCATACAAAGTTATATGCTTTTGAGTAAGTTTTAAAGAAAAGAAATTATGTGGTTTACTACTTTTCCTGCCAATTCTAACTCCAACTCAATCTAACATTGGTATCACTCAAAATTTTAAACTGTAGATTCCTTGCTAACCAATTGTTGTTTTTTAATATTTTTTTCTTTATTGATTTTAGAGAGAGAAGAAGGGAGAGGGAGAGATAGATAGAAACATTGATGAGAGAGAACATTGATTGGCCGCCTCCTGCATGCCCCCCCCCCCCACTGGAGATCAGGCCCACAACCTGGGCATGTGCCCTGACAGGAATTGAACCAGTGACCTCTTAGTGCATGGGTCGACGCTCAACTACTGAGCCACACTGGCTGGGTGCTAACCAATTATTTAATCTCAGCCAAAGATAAATCCCCACTTGCCTCTAATATTTCAGGCTAATATTTAAAATCTTTTCATGTCTAATATCAAAAATCAGTCCAAGTGACTCTCCTCAACTCCTCAGATGTTTCTCATCAACATCACAGCCTCTAGATCTAATTAGTCTACATGGTAATTGATGATAATAATGCCAGAATCTAGCATAAACCTCTTAGATCACCTGTTTTCTCTGCTCTGTGTTAGGATATCTTAATAACTACTTTTAGGCTGATTGACACAGCTGATTAAATCATGCTGTTCTCTAGTCCTGGAAGACATGACAAGATTCCCTAGATACCCTCATGTGCATTCATGCTGGTTGCATGGAAAAATCATCAGATATGGGTGTGCTGTGAGTATGTGGAAAAGGTGGATTCTAACATGCAGAGGGCCAAGCCCCCTATTGCATTTAACTAGAGATCATGAAAAGAGCTCTGGGTTCAGAAGCAAAAGACCTGGGCTTTTCCATGTATTCTTAATAAATGGTAGCTTAGAGCAATTTATGAGAAAATGGGATGAAATATTCATTTCCTCTGACTAGGGAAAGCTATAATAATATCCTAAACATCTCCCATCCGTCTTTGCCTCTCTCCATGTTTAGAGTGAATTTCTAGGAGAAAGAAGGGGCATCATGTCTTTTGTCAAGAAAAAGAAAACCAGAATATTTTTAAAATATTGTATGTGTTTGTTTTATCTATAGACTTCAATATGATGAAAATTTTAAAGATCCCAGCAACATATACCACAACCAAGGAAGAATCAAAATTATTAAGACCAACAACAAAGGTTTGAAGTGCAGTAAATTTTTTTTTACGTTCTTCTTTAATTTGCAATATAATTAGTTGAACAGTTTGATGTAGACATTGTTGGTTATTTTATTTTTGATATATATCTTAGAAAAAATGTAATGATCAAAGTGATTTACTGGGTTAATATTAATATTAAAAAGTCTTATTTTTTTCTTTAAAAATTCTCATCTCTAATGGGAAAAGAAAAAAACATAACATTTATTTGTTCTCACACTGTTAGCACTACTTGTCCTTGGACTGACTTGCAAACATGGCTCGATCTCAGTAAGCATCAGTCACATTTGCTGGAAATTTCAAAGGAGTTTTCTGTAATGGTTGACCTGTCCCCATCTTTTAAGCCATGGTCCTGGAATAACTGAGTACATGTAGACACTGTTACTCTTTAAGTCGTAAATGCTATGTTTCTCCACTTTCCTGAAGGTGCCTCCAAAATAGAGAGCCTATGGACTTGCCACCTTTTGTCTCTATAGCCAAGATTTAATGAGGTTATTGGCTTGAAATTTTTGAGTTTTATCTCATAACTCGTTAAACAGTTAGGTTTTTAATCTGTTGAAGTCTTTATTGCTAAAATTTTGTCTGAATTATCTAGTCAAGTCTGTCCATTATTTTAAATTTTGAATTATGTTTATATAAAATCCTCTTTCTGGAAGTCAGTATTCGCAGATTTCCTGGACTCTGATAATCCAGGCATATAGAATCTCTTTCAGCCTTCACAGCACTGCCAACAATGGTTTGTAAGTACTTAGCAAGGAAACTGGTGGTCTCCAGTAGTCAATTTGGGATGATGACAATATCACACTTTTGGGTGGGGAGCAAGAAGGGTGGACAGATATAGAAATCAGGGACATGTAATAAAAATTGTATATCTCATCTTCAGCAAGCACTAAAAATGGTCTTTTACACTTTACATACAATTGAAGAAATAGAGATGGATTTGTAACTGACTGTACAACCTTTTTCAGGTAACACTATTAAAAGATAGAAAATAAATTGCAGATACATCTTGTTGCATTATTGGCCCTGTTCCATGCAGACTACTTTATCAACAACTTGGATAAAAATATGGTTGCCGCCTGGCCAGTGTGGCTCACTAGTTGAGCGTCGACCCATGCACCAAGGAGCTGCCAGTTCGCTTCCCAGTCAGGGCACATGCCCAGGTTGTGGGCCAGATCCCAAGTGGGGGGCATGAAGGAGGTGGCCAATCAATGTTCGCTCTATCAATATTTCTCTCTCTCTCTCCCTCTCCCTTCTCTTTCTGAACCTCTCTCAATAAAGAAAAAAAAATTTTTTTAATATGGTTGCCATTTGTATTAGATATGTAGAAGTCATACACTTAAAAGAATTATTAATACATTGGATGACCAAAAGTTTACAACAGGCTAGAGTAAAAAGCCTGACCTTAGAAAATAAACTTTTTATTGTGGAAAAGTATAGAGGTCCAAAATTAGAACTGCAGAGGTACAACATGAGAAAGCCTTGGCTTGGGGGCAGCGAATAGCTTTGGGAAGTATTTCTGGTGGTAAGATCTATATGTGTCAACAGTAGAATGTTGTTGACTCCAAAATCTACTGTATTCTTGACTATTTAAATAGACATGTGGACTTAATTCTATGCTGATTTGACAGTAATTGTGTTTTATATTAATTTTCGAGAGCTTCATTATAAAAGGGTGTAGATAATTAGAAGTATTCTGAACAGAATATAACCAAAATGATGAAGGACTCTGAAACCATATTGTTTGAGCAATGATCAAAATGTTTAAAAACATTTCTACTAGAAAAGAAAAAACCCTGGAGACCTTATTAACAGAGAGCAGGATTAGATGTTTTTTTTATGGCTCAGAAAAGATTTTTTTTTTACTAGTGCAAACCAAAACATATTTTACTTTTACAAATAGGTGAAAGCTATATGAAAACAGATTTCAGTTCAACATAAAGAATAATGTTTTAAGCACCAGAGTTGTCCAAATGCTGAATGGGTGCCTGTGGGTTTCCAATATCCATATGGGCATTGACAGGACACACATTAAAACATAGCAAATCAAAGCTTAGTTTTGCAATCAGTACGGGCAATTATCTTTTAATAAATTAACAGAAAGATTTAGCACCAAAACCATCCCTTGGACTTTCTGGTACACCCCCTGTGACCCATCCAAAATTTATAGGATTGTTTGGTTCTTCAAAATTAGTAACAAATAGTTCTTTGATGATAAAAGTCCTATTTATGGAATCAAAATTCTCTGACAATTTTATGTCATATCTTTTGTAGGGTGAATGGAAGCAGGGGGGCTTCTGTTACTTGTTTTGGCCATTTTGGATATTTCTTTTTTTTAATCCTCACCCAAGGATACTTTTCCATTTATCTTCAGATAGAGTGGGAGGGAGGGAGAGAGAAACATCCATGTGAGAGAGACATATTGATTGGTTGCCTCCCGCTGACCAGGGCCAGGGGTGAACCTAAACTGAGGTACATTTCCTTGATCAGAATCAAACCTGCGACTGTTTGGTCCATGGGCCGACACACTAACTGCTGAGCCAAACCAGCCAGGGCCACTGTGGATATTTCTAACAAGAGTTCTTTGGGCAACATGGTACTTTCTGCTCTAAAGTATCTAAGAAAATGGCTGAGCCTCCACAAAACACTGAATTTGCATTTAATGCCTAGTTCTGCTCTTGCCTGGTTAACTATCCTTAAAAAACCAGGGATTATCTTAGATGAAGAAGGAGCTGTGCTTTTTCTAAATTGAACACTGATAATTGCATGGAAAAATAGCAAAAATATCTATTTGTGGTATTTCAGTAAAGTAGACTTTCTGACTTATAGTATACAAGACAGAAGCCTGGAAAGGGGTCATAAAATGATCTTTTGAGACAGGAAAATTTTCATTTTAATCTAAATGGAGCTTGGCTTGGTTTTGCATGTAATTTAGAAAATCAGGCTAGATATAACCTGATATAAATTGTCATGAAAGATTAAGATAAAGGAAATGATTTACATCATAGAAAATATATCTGATATTGACATTTAATTTTTCACCATCAAAAAATTGCTTTTGATTATCATAATCCCACTTTTAAAATAATTCTGAAGCAGTTATGAATTAATAAAATTAAAAAGTGACCATAAGCAAAGGGAATACAAGAGAATTTTATGTATCAATAAAAGCAAGAGAATAAAATCTTATTTCCCCATAGGAAATAGAATCAATAATAAATCTCTCTTCTAGGCATTACAGGTATTGAGGAAAGACTTAGCAGATAAGTAGTTGCTATGCTGAACTTGTTTTCCACAAGAAGTCAATAATAGAATCTTGAAGCAATTATATTTCTGACTGTCATTTCCCTGACACAGAATTTGTGGTCAACATTTTTTTCCATCAGCACTCTGATTATGTTATCCAATTGCCTTTGATCTCCTTTGTTCTAATGAGAAGTCAGCTGTTAATCTTATTAAGGTTTCTAGACATGCTGTTTTTTGAGATGTTTCTTTTGGTCTTTGTCTTTCAAACTTTGACTATGATGTGTCTAGGTAAGAGCTTATTCTACTTGAAATTAAGTTTCTTAGGTATATTTTTCATAAAATTTGGAAAGTTTCAGTTATTATTTCTTTATATTTTTTCCTGCCCCTTTTTCTAGGCCTTTGTTCATCTTCTTCATTCTTTTTTACTTCTGTTCTTTAGACAAAATAATCTCTATTGACCTACCTTCAAGTGTGCTGATAAAGCAAAAAGCGTGGAGAACTTTATTGCATATAATCATAGATACATTAGTAAATTTCTTTTATTAAGAATATGCTTTGAAGTATTTACTTTATTTTATTATGCTAGATGGTAGTTATAATACAGTTATAATTTATTTATAATTCTTTAAAAACACACCAAATTAATAACTGACTTTATTTTTTCTTTCCCTCACAGTCCCACTATAGTAGCACTGGTCCAGAGTTTAACCGTGTGCTCTTCAACTTTGGAGGTCAGAGTCCACTGATTTTATATTATCTTAAGATGCATGAGCTAGCTGGTATTCCCAAAGCCTCTAGGCGAAGCAAGATTAAGTTCACTGAAATATCACGAGAACCATATCCTTTTTTAAGCTTCACTTTAATATGATCTATTTTTAAAATATTGAAAATCTTTTATTGTCTCAATTAAGAAAAAAAATAATGTTTTTTAACCAATGCTTTTATTTAGCATTTAATCATGTTCAAAACTTTTGTAGCATGTTTTGTTAAAGTATTTTCTCTTTTAGATCTAAGGCTATCATTTTTCATGTCAAAACATAAAACCCAGGAACTTTAGAAACTGGTATATTTAGCTCTTCAGTTAAAAGACTGTCTTTGCAACTTAGTATTTAATGTTCAGTTTCAAACATTTGTCAGAACTGTGAGTAATGGGCTTCTAGGCTTCTCCAGAAGAGTTTCAAACATGTTTTTGTTGTAGAATCATTTGTTCCAAAGAAAATTTATCAAAAAGCTTAATGTGTAAAATATAAAATAAATGAAATTGGAGCTCTTTGGTTACAGCAGGAGCAGGGCCCAGAGTTCTATGTGCACTCCTGTGCTCCCTCTGCATAACCCAGCCCAGCCCAGGCTCACGGGGACTCAGATGAACCCAATGGATCTAATACCATGCTTTCCAAACTGAAGTATAAATAGCTCTGGGTGGAGAAAAAATATATCAGGACTCTTATTTACATGTCTTTCTGTCTTGAAAATAAAACATAAAGCTGGACATCACTAATGTTCAGTAAACAAGTACCTTGTTCAGCTGATATTTCAGTCTGCAGTCGACTGTGTTGAGGGATAATGATGGCCTCTTTGCTTTTGTGTTGCTTTCTAAGCATCACAACATGGTGCTATTTTCTTTGGGGGAGTTAAGCAGATTTATAGATTATATCATCTAGTTTTAAATAAAGTAACAACTCACTAGTGGAACAATAGCTTTAAATGATTTCTGGAAAGAACTATGGATTGATGATAATATTTATGATGCAAGAAATAATTAGATTCCACATATAAACTAATAAATGAAATAGAAACAGACTAATAGATGTCATTGGGGAGGGGAGAGGAGGGCTGGGTGAAAAAGGTAAAGGGATTAAGCAAAAAACAAAACAGAATCTCATAGACAACAGTATTGTCATTACCAGAGGGAAATGGGGGAGGGGGAATCAGGAGAGGGTAAAGGGGGGATAAGTGGTGATGAAAAGAGACATGACTTAGGGTAGTGAACACACATACAACATGCAGATGATATATTCTAGAATTGTACACCTTAAACCTATATAATTTTATTAACCACTGTAACCTCAGTAAATTCAATTAAAAAAGAAAAGAAATTTTAGCAGAACCGTATTTTTCCTACTCTTTGAAGGAGCTCACTTCCAGCCACACTAAGAGATGAAGTCAATGGTGATCTATTCAATTCTGCCAAGATGTAGACCAAAAGTATAAAAATAAAAATATTCAGAAAGACTATTTGAAATATGGATATACATCATTTTATAAACAATGAATCTGGCCTTAAGTGTATGTGATACTTTTTAATATTATCAACTGATAGTATGCCAGTTTAATTTGCAAGGCATTTATAAACCACGGTCTAGACATCAGTACAAATCTCTGCAATTTGAGGACTAAAGGTTAAGTGTTCCATTAAAAATGTTAAATTTTATTTTTTAAAATATTTTTTCATCTCACTGTTTTCTGTTTCTCCACTGTATATTTTTATAATGTATGTAATATATTAATACAGATTGATGTGCATATATAATTTACAAATTTAAAGTTACACCTGTATGGGAGTATGCTCGCATAGCTTTCACTCGCGGGATACATGATCAGGAAAGTGTGGAAACCACTGCTCCAGCAGATTCTCAGGCCTCTCCCAGGCCATTTCTCCCCCATTGCAGTAAAGCCAGCCTCTAGAGTCAAACTGACCACAAACACATGGAATTAACTTGAATGGCTCTGGAACACAAGAAAAAAGGCTAACTATATGGGTAAATCAGTCTGTGTTAAGACTTGTAACTTAAGTAATGATGCAGTGATTCTCATCAACCTTGAATTATGTCTGAAACAAAAATTTTAAATCTCTAGAAGTGAAATTTGAAAGGTATCAAAAACCTTCATAGTAGATCAATTTGATTTTTAACTAATATTTATCGTGATGGTAAAAATAATGTTAATCTTGTGTTTCTATTTCTGATGAGCATGGACTTGTTCAGTGGCTAAGCTAGGATTCATACACCAGTTCACTGGGAATGTGGGACGAGTGAGCGAGTTGGGGAGGAGATGGAGATCTGAAGCATGAAACCTGTTAGGAATATGTCTCAGTCCATAAAAATTTGAAAAAAAAAATCACCCATTGGAAAGTAATGGGGCTTTCCACAATGTATTCTGAGCTTGTAAAATATAATAGGCACGGATAAGAAAAAATGTTCTAGATCTAATGATGAACAAAATCATAATAGAGCCTCACATTCATCAGCACTTGGCAATTTTTTCAAGTGTTGAATTTCCCTATATGTTATCACAGGAATGGCAAGGGTCCTGCGACCAGGAACTTCTTGAGTTTGGAATGTTCATCTTATTCTTATGATACACTTCATATACTTTATGAAACCAGCTCATAGCACTTTACAGATGAGGAGACCAAAGCGCACAGAGGGTACGCGGCTTGCTGTACAAATTTGCCTCTCTATCCCTCGCACCTGAAAAAAGTATCCTGCCTGCAATAGTTGCTAAACAAATGCCTGATGGGTGGGTATAACATGGTTTTATATAAAGATAAGACCAAAGTTCATCTTATTTGTCAAAAAAAAAGAATTGACATAATCTTTAAAATTAAAAAACACCTAGAGGAAAGAAAAAAAAATTGTCAGTCATTGGTACAAAGTCAATCTATAAAGTCACCAATATTTAAATGATGTTTTTAAAAAGTTATTGAATAATTACTGTGTACCAAGTACTCTTCTAAGCACTTTATACTTATTAACTCATTTCATTCTCATGGGAACTTCTGAGCTAGATATTATCATTGTTTCAAAACAAGAAAACTGAGGCCCGGGAAAGTTAGGTGACATACCTGAGAACAGCAAATGACAGCACTTGGAGTCTGTCCCGGGCGGCCAGGTTTCAGGGCAGAGGTGCTGGAACACGCTGGTGCTGACCTGCTTCCCCAGGGACTGTGGAGCCCCAGAGGAAGATAAAGCCTGTTCCAGGCTTTTAGGGAGAATTGTAATTATGGTTTGGGGGAAGGGTGGTAACAGTCAGAGAAGTCAACAGAAGATGAAAAATAAGGGGGGGTGGGGGTTGCCATGATAATGTCCCTCACACTTGAGGATAAATAGCTAATTGATATTTCTAGGGTTGTCCAACATTAGATCAATTTAGCAGTTTTTCCTTCAGACATTGAAGATTGCATGACTATGCAATTCTATTACAAAATTATTTTAGCCTGGCCATTGTGCCTCAGTGGTTTGAGCGTCAACCCATGCACCAAGACGTTGCCAGTTTGATTCCTGGTCAGGACACATGCCTAGGTTGTAGGCCAAATCCTCAGTGGGGGACATGCAGGAGTTGGCCAGTAATGTTCTCTCTCATCAATGTTTCTACCTTTCTCTCTCTCTCCTTTCCTCTCACTCTAAAAATCAATAAAGAAAAAAAGCTTAATCCTTTTATCTATTTAATAAGATATTCTTATGATACACTCTTTTAAACAAGCTTAAATATTGGTCACTATACAATTTTATTTGTGCAATTTTTATTAATTTATTTTTGTTACAGATGTTTCTCCCCCCCCCCCGACATCCTCCTCCTGACCTTCCTCCCCCAGCATTGTTGTCTATGTCCATTGGTTATGTGTACATGCATATAAGTTCTTTGGTTCATCTCATCCCTCCCATCAGCCCCACTCCTCTGAGGTTTGTCAGTCTGAACCATACTCCTTTCCATATCTCTGGGTCTATTTTATTCATTAGCTTATTCATTATATTCCACCAATAAGTGAGATCATATGCTACTTGTCTTTTTCTCTTTGGCTTATTTCACTTAGCATAATACTCTCCAGGTCCCTCCATATCATCTCAAAGGATATGAGACCTTTCTTTCTAACAGCTGCATAGTGTTCCATTGTGTATGTGTATATGTACCACAGCTTTTTTATCCACTCATCTACTGATGGACACTTGGACTGTTTCCAGATCTTAGCAAGTGTGAATAGTGCTGCTATGAACATGGGGGTACATATATTCTTTCTGATTGGTGTTTCAGGCTTCTTAGGGTATATTCCTAGAAGTGGGATCACTGGGTCAAATGGAAGTTCAATTTTTAATTTTTTGAGGAAACACCATATTGTTTTCCATAGTGACTGCACCAGTCTGCATTCCCACCAGCAGTGTGCTAGAGTCCCCTTTTTTTCCACACCCTCACCAGCACTTGTTGTTTGATGACTTGTTGATGGCAGGTGTGAAATGATACCTCCTAGTTGTTTTCATTTTCATCTTTCTGATGATTAGTGATGTTGAGCATTTTTTCATGTCTCTTGGTCATTTGTATGTCCTGTTTGGAGAGGTGTTTATTTAGGTCCACTGCCCATTTTTTAATTGGGTTCTTTACCTTCCTTTTGTTGAGTTGTATGAGCACTCTATAGATTTTGGAAATTAACCCCTTATCTGATGTATCATTGGCAGTTATGTTTTCCCATATCTTGGTTCCCTTTCCATTTTGATATTTATTTCTTTTTCTGTGCAGAAGCTTTAAAGTTTGATATAGTCCCATGTAATAAGTTTTTTCCTTTGTTTCTCTTGCCTTAGGCATTGTATCAGTGAAAATTCTGCTGCATGTGACATCTGAAATTTTGTTGCTTACATTTTCTTCTAGGATTTTTATGGATTCACAGTCACACTTAAGTCTTTTATCCATTTTGAGTTTATTCTTGTGTATGGTGTAAGTTGGTGGTCGAGTTTCTTTCTTTTTTTTTTTTTTGCATGTAGGTATCCAGGCATAGTTCCTAAGGTCACTATGCAATTTTAAATTAGAGTTTTATGGAACAGATATATTTAAAAATAAATTTAATA